CTGCAAGGACACAAAGCAAGCATGTGCACGGCAGTAACTGCAGGACAGAGAGGGGCTCCGCTTCTCCAAGCCAACAGCAACAGGGTTGAGGAGTGAGAGGCAGGAATAGGCAATCTATATAAATGGAGAGCAGGAGGGAGGCAGAGCCCTAGCCTGACATCTCCTGGGAGAGCGGCTCTGTCCCCTTCTCCCCTCTCCTGTGTGCTCCTGTCATGTGTCAGCCTAGGAAGTACCATGCTGTACCCAGGACGACGCACATCAGAAAAGCGATGGCTTCTCCTGCCCCTGCTCCCAGAGGGGAGGACACTCACTGACCTGTGGTTAGTCTACAGCCCCAGGTTATTATTCTAAGCAGTCAGAGGAGGCTGAGCAGGGACACAGGGGACACAGACAGAAGGGGAGTGGGTCACCACCCAGTGACCTCCCACACGCATTTAGGAGCACATTAGCCCTGCATGTGGCTTGCTCAACACCGAGGGGCTTCCTGCAAGCCGGGCCTGCAGCACGACACGAGTGTGTCAGTGCTCAGCACCTGGCTCCGCCATCTGGATCATCACAGAGAGCCATACCCAGCCCTCTGCAGCCCTAAGGGCCTTCTCGCTGCTCCCCGACTAACCTGTCTGCACTGCAGCTCGTCAGGGGAGAACTGGAGAGGCAGACAGCAGGGAGCACAAGAGAGACCATGGTGGAGAGAGGCAGACCTAGGGCATCAGAGCCCAGCTCCACCCCTGCCCCAAGAGGAGAGAGGAGGTCTGCATGGAGGGTGCTGTCGATTAGCAACCTTTGCCACTATTACACATTTCTGGTCATCTCCAACAGACACAGCCAAACAGACTAGAAGTCAACCAGACATGGCCCATCCAGTCCACTCTCCTGTCCTGGGCTGTGGCCGGATCCGGCTGTTTCAGAGGACGGTGTCAGAGCCCTGCAGGAGGTAGTTCTGAGCCAGCCTGCCCCAGGGACAGCAGCCTCCACTCCCTCTGTCAGAGGCTGGCACAGGCCATGAGGCTGGAGAGAGGGGAGGATGCCCACATGGCATACACCTTCATGGGACTGTGAGGAACTGCAGAGTGAAGAGAAGCTCCAGGGATGGCAATCTGCCTCTCAACACTGCACGCAGCTGGCTCAGGGCACAAGGGGCTCTTCCTTCCCTCAGACTTCAGCCAGCCAGCAGTGGGCTAGAGACAGGACAGACAGGGATGTCCACATGCCCCTCACTGTTGGGGTGACAGGAAGGGTGCATTCCTCAATGATGCAAAGTGGAAGAGAGGACGTGCATTTTGTGCCCGGCGTACACTACCGCATAGCAGGACTGCCAAGTTTGATTCCTACCTCCCTCACTAATCTGTTGTGACCTAACCGCTCCATGTCTCAGCATCCCCAGCTGCAAAGGGGGCTGACAGGCCCTCCCCAGGGAGCTGCAGGGTTTAAATGTCTGGCTGTGTTGAGCTCTGCAGGGCACGGATGGAAGGCACAAAGTACTAACAGTGACTGTAGCTCTGGGGACACTTTGCAGTTATCCATCCTCTCAAGCCCGCACTGTGTGGCCAGGCCCTGGAACAGCCTGTGATGGGGCAGTTGCTCTGGTTCTGCTGTGCACCCCTCCCATGTCCACAACAAGGCAGTGCTCAGTCCCTCTGCCCTGAGCTGTCACCACCCATCATGACAGAGCTCTGTGGTCAAAGCTGTGATGTCTTAGTCCCTGCCATGTTATATATATACATATATACATATATACATATACATATACATATATATTACAAAACTGACTGGTAAATTGTGCAATGTAGTCCAGCCGCACATGCAAAGTAATTATCACCGTATAAAAAATGCAAAATCATCTATAAAAAGAGCCAACCAGCTACAGAGTTAGGGCTTGAAGACACGTAATAACTTTATAGCTGGTTTCTATCCAGCTTTAATTTCAATGTGCGGCAGGGCCCAGAGAGACCACTGGGAAAACAGGAGGCAGGGCTGCCTCACCTGGAGCTGCTGTGACCTGGATTTGATCCCAAAGCCAGATCAGGACAAGGGTGACAGAGACACAATCACCCCCCCGCACCGGTCCCTACACCAGCTCCTGAGATCCAGGTCTGCCCCAGCCTCTTCCTTCCCAGATATGTATGCCGATGCTAACACACCCACACAGAGCAGCCCACATGCCTGCCCCCACACAAACACACGCAGCACGCTGGCCTGAGCCCTACCTGTTTCAGGGTGCGGTGAAAGGCTGCAGTGGCTCGAGCCATCTCCGGCAGAGCCACAGGGATCTTCAGCAGCCTCTCTGAAAAGGCTGCCAGGATCTGCCCAGCTTTCTCCACCCAGTCCATATGGCCGGAGTAACAGGCTGCCCTGAGCAGGTTAGTGACGGCGATGGAGTTGGCGTTGGGCTCTGCCCCATCTTGGTCTGTGGGGAAATGACAGCTCATCAGCCATCCCGCCCAGTGCCACAGGGGCAGCACTGACCCAGGGGCTCAGCATCATGTCACCCACGGAGCCTGTCCATGTGTGACACCAAGGCCTGGCTCCACTAATACCGTGACCCACCCAGAGACTACTACCGAAGCTGCAGCCCCAAGGCCTGTCTAACTGGCATGAGGCTGCCCCAGCAGCTGTCGAGTTAGCATCCCATTGTGCCATGCTAGAGTCCAAGGCTGACATTTCAACATGTGGCTCTTTCTCTCTAGGCTGGGTAGAGGATGACCATAACAGCCAAGGTGTTGTACTGGGGTACATACCACATCCCAGCTACCTTGGGTCAGTCAGGCCAGTCACCTCCCACGGCAGCTGGGTGGGCACTGCTGCGAACACAGCATCCCCATCTTTGCTTAAAGCACAGAACAACTGAGCCCGGGACAATCGAGGCCCAGGTTCTCACCGGCGCTACACACAAGCAGAGCTTAGGGGGGCACTGATAGAGACTTTTGGGGCCAATATCGATATCTGATTTTTAAGGAGTCATATCAGCTGATACTGATCTGATTTCCGATACAGCATGGAGAGCTGCTTCCAGCTGGTAAATCTGTTGTGGTGGAAGGAGAGGGGAGGGGAGGGAAGGGGCAGGGGCAACTGAGGCAGCTCCCCCTGCTGCACGCACCCTGGGAGGGCATGGGGTGGGTGACATGTCCCCAGATCTGCACAGGGCAGGGCAGGGCGGGGCAAGGTGGGCAGGCTGCAGCTACGGGCTGGAGCTGGGGCTGCACCAGGCTCTTCTCACCGGGGCCTGGGCTTGGGGCAGGGGCTATGGAGGGGGCTGCAGCCACCCCAAATTTCACCATAGCTCCCCCTAGCGCTGCTGCATACCTGGCGAAGTCCTGGCTCTTCCTGGCACGTGGGGGGAGGTGGGGGTTGAACCAGGAAGAGCTTGGGCTCCACCGGGCATGCAGTGGTGCTGGGAGGGAGCTACAGTGAAATTTGGGGTGGCTGCAGCCCCCGCCCCGAGCCCAGCCCCCAGCTAGAAAAGCCCAGTGAAGCCCTGGCTCCAGCCCACAGCTGCAGCCCACCTGGGGGGCACACACCCTCCCCGTGCCCTCCTGGGGTGCATACAGATGCGGGAGCCACCCCCACTCCTGACAAACCGTGGGTCCGTCCCGCGCCCTGCCCCACCCTGACAGCGCCTACCTCTGCCCCCTCCCTTGCCACAGGGCAGGGTGGGTTGATCTGCCCGGCACCCCCTCCACGCCTCTTCCTCCCCCCTCCCCTTTCACCACAATGGACTAACAAGCTGGAGGCAGCTCGCCACGCTGCCAGCTGTGCTCCTCACTGTCTGAGTGCTGTGCTGCGGCTGCACGCATGCACGGGCATTTATTGGCAAAATTATCAGCCCCATTGGGCCAATTTCCGATGCAGCCAATTTTCTTTATACCTGTACCGATCTGACATCAGACCGACGTATCAGTGCATTTCTAGTAGAGCTGGGCCTGACATCACGTTAAAGACTCCATTAAAGGCTCCTGGGAGCCCAGCCCATCTCCGCAGCACACTTACCATCCTTCAAGCGGAGGAGCAGTGAGGAGTCTCCAGCCTCACTGGAGAAATAGGCAAAGTCTTTGTTGTCCCAGAAGAGCTCATCCTGCTTGTGCTGGAGCTGTACGGCCCATTCCAGCCAGCTCGGGTTCAGTGAGGCCTCATACAGGTCAAAGAGGGCCTGGATCACAAAGACATAATCCTCCAGGAAGCCCTGGATGGGCACGGTGCTACAGAGATAACAGGGAAGGACCGTGGAGCTGCCATGCTGGAAAAGACCAGCAGCTCAGGGAGCCAGCCAGACCCACTCCCATGGGGGGCCTAGTTGGCAAACACTCGGCCTCTTCTCCCTCCACTGCTTTATGCCTGAAGGGCAATGGGCCCAGGCCTCAGCTGATGTCAGGCACTGCACTGGAGCTCAGTCAGCTTAAACCTGGTGAGAACCCAGTAATGGGGGGCTCTAACCTGACACCGAGTCTCTCCTCAGACACGCAGCTCCCAACTAAAGTACCCCCCAAGGGGCTTGTAAAGTAACAGACTAAAGTAGGTACAGAAGGCTTGATCCTGCTTTCTAGGCACCCACACCTCCCACTGAGTCAAAGGAGGAAGCCCCACATCTTTTGGAGTCAGATCATGAGTCTCCAAAGCGCTAAGAAGGGTGAACGGCATCAGAGCGGCCATCCAGCATCCTATGCCCACCCATGTACCTGTGCCTGGCACAAACAGTTGGCAACAACCTTGCTAGCAGCATTCCCTTATCGGAAGGAAGCAATACCCGACCTCCCTGGCCCTGCCTGATAGCAGCTGGGCTCCACCAGGCACATAACAGGACATCCAAGCTGTGGTAAGTGGCTCACCAGGCAAATAGCCCTGTGCAAATTGCCTTAATCCCTGTTGACACAGGCCTAATTTATGTTTGCCCAAGGGAGAAGAGTGACTAGGAAGGAGCAGGGCAGAGAGGAAGGGCCAGAGCCTGGGGCTGCTGGCTCCTGTTGTCACAGCCTTGACTGTGTTTACTCCAAAGGCTGAAGAGACTCCCGTTGCCAGGGTGCGGCACGGCACAGGGCTGTACAGCTAGCTCCTTAGGTGCCTGCAGGGAGGACAAGTGCCCTCTGTCCCTGCATTTGTGCACGCTCAGCTGATATGTGCATGCTTCATGAGTGTGCACGCAGCCTGTGCTTGTGTGCGTGTGTGTTCAGCCACTCACAGTGGGGCATTGATCTGGGCACTCCAAGCCCTGGCTGCTCACAGAGACATCAAAGGTGCTAGCCAAGATCAAAGACAGCCCCGCAGTAAAGCAAAGGCCCGAGTTTCCCTGCTGGAAAGCTTTTCATCAGGAGGGGGAAGCTGCAGTGGGGGTCAGCTGTCTGTGCCACCCCTAGATCTCAGGACTGTCAGCTCCATTTGGCAGACTGGGAACTTGTGGCTCAGGCTGGGAAGCATCATGGGGCCCAAAACACAGGCTGTATCCACTGTTGCATGCTGCCAGTGCTTTCCTCATGCCTGCTTGTACTAAGGGTGGGCTCAGAAGCTGCTTGGAGCCAGCGCGCTGGGGCTTCCCTATGGGCAGCAACTGGAGCACGGCTGCAATAGAAGGTGCTTTGGTAATGATCCTGGCCAGGCGCACCAATGCCCGCACCACAGGCATGAGCAGATCCTGCACTGGGTCCCTGGCATCACTTAGCAGCAGGCAGAAGTAGGAGGAGGAAGCACCTCAGGAGGATTTGTCCTCAATTCCCCCAAGCTCTGGCAGAGCCCTTCCCCCCTGAGCTGAACTAATCTATCCCCAGCCACATGCACAAGAGACAGGCCTGCATGTACAGAAGCTGCTGCTACCTCCAGCCCCGAGGAGCAGGGGAATTTATAGTCTCCCACCAGCCAGCCCAACTCCCTCCATTTACTACCCAGGCCAGGGTATCAGTGGAGAAGGGGCCCCTGTGGCTTGAGATCCGCTCCTCCCCAGACCGACACAGCAGCAGTGTCCTACTTCAGTCCCGGCCTCCCGTTCTGGCAGTGGTAGAGGCGGCCAGAGGGGTGCTGGGCACAGACCACAAAAAGCAGTGTCTTTGGCTTGTTGGTGGGTAGGTGACAGACTCAAAAGGGAACCCCCATACAGTGCGCTCAGCTCAGCAGG